AGCTCAAAGGTTCGCCATCACTGTTCTAGGCCTTTCACTATGGGATATGTACATAAAATATGTATGTAACCATATGAAGTCTTTTATAATTTTTTCTCACTTATAGGCATATTTTCATGTCACTAAATAGCTACATTATCATTTTAATGATTGTCCAACACTCCGTTGTATGAATTTGTCATTATTTAACCAGTTTCCTACTAATGGACAGTTAGCTTCTTTCCATTGTTTTGCTATTAATTATCTATACTAATAAAAGGGTAATATGCTAATTAGGCTGAATAGACCAGACGTCTTCCGGATGTCCTTCTGGACAAAGCCATGGTGGCGGGCTGAGACAGAGCAGTTAGGGGCAATCAGGCAGGCAGGGGCAGTTAGGGGCGATCAGGCAGGCAGGCAGAGTTGGTTAGGGGTGATCAGGCAGGCAGGCTGGTGAGTGGTTAGGAGCCAGCGGTCCCGGATTGCGAGAGGGATGTCCTGGATTGGAGAGGGTGCAGGCCAGACTGAGGGTGCAGGCCAGTCTAGGTCTCAGATACCAGAGTGTTTTGGCCCCCCTCCATGCACATATTTCATGCACTGGGCCTCTAGTATATTATAATCAGGGATACACTGACTGCACATCTTTCTGGTACATTGTGGTATGTCTGTTTTATTATTTCCTTCATGTGTCTGGAAAATAAAGTGTTGGATCAAGGTGTGTGCAATTGGAAATTTTGATAGATATTGCCAAGTTACCCTCCATCTGTTTGGCCACCATCAATGTGTGAAGATAGTAGAAGCTATTGTTGGGCCAGTTGCTGAGACCACTGATGGTTTAAGAAACTTTTTGTTTTCTCCAGTGACAACAAGAGACAGGGCGACGAGGGATTCGGCTGGTGGAAGAGCTAATCCCTAAAAGACTAAGGTGTGTTGCAGAATGGCCAAAGAGGACAGCCCAAGTGCCTCAAAGGACTTGCAGGAGCTGCAGAGGAAGCTGTCTTTGCTCATAGAATCTGTCCAGAATAACTCGAAGGTCAGTTTCTAATCAGTATGTGTAATGGAAAATCCCAAGGTAACATTAGCTTAAGCCCCATAGAAAGCTATCTCTCTGCCATGTCTAAGTTGTGACCTTCAAGCTCATTGTCCCAGATGGCCGGCCTCAGCCATCATATCCACATTCCAGGCAGTAGGAGGGAAGAGAGGGGGAAGAAAGACTTGCAAGCCACCGTGAATTTCAGGAGACTTCCTGAGAGTCACACGTACAACACATCCAGTTTCACCCCATAGACCAGAAGCTCAGCCGCAGGACCACCCCTGCACAAATGCAGTTCTTCACTGGATGTGGAAAGGCTGCTCTCAGTCCAGGTCTCAGATACCAGAGTTTTTTTTAGCTTTGTTGTTAATTTGGGCTCATCTATTACCCCGAAAATGAGGGGGCCAAAGTTGGAGATCTGAGTTCAGTATTCCATCAGAAACCCAGTGTCCAATAGAAATGTGATGTGAGCCACAGATGTAATTTAAAGTTTTCTAGTGACTGCCCTGGCCAGGTATCTCCGTTGGTTGGAGCGTCTTCCCATGCACCAGAAGGCTGTGGGTTTGATTCCCATCAGGGCACATACCTAGGGTGCAGGTTTGATCATGGGTCGGGATGCATATGGGAGGCAACCAGTCAATGTTTCTCTCTTTCTCTCACCCTCTCTCTCTAAGAAAAAAAGAAAAATCAGTAGAAAAATATATCCATGGGTGAGTATTTAAAAAATGGTAAAGTTTTCTAGTGGGCACATTTAAAAATTAAAAGGAAGTAGATGAAATTAATTTTAGTAATGTATTTTATTTAATCTAGCATACCCAAAATATCATTTCAACATGTAATTGTTATAAAAATTATTAATGAAAAAAGTTATTTAGATGCTTTACTGTTTTTTTTATACTAAGTCTAGGAAATCCAGTGTGCATTTTACATATCATATCTTACTTTGAACTAGCCACTTTCCAGGGGTTCACTATTCAATGGTGATGGGACTTCAGATAGTATATTTCACTTCCCTGCATTTATCTTTATAGCTTTCTTTTATGTGCCTTTCAGCATTCTGTCAGGAAAATAATAGCAGCTCCCAGACACAGTATTATTAACATTTTGTTGTATGTCCTTCTAGACTTTTTTCTGGGCAATCTATATATATAAAAGCCTAAGTGACCTTTATGACTGAATGACTGGAATGACCGGTTGACCAGTCCCTATAATGCACACTGACCATCAGGGGGCAGACGCTCAATGCAGGAGCTGCCCTCTGGTGGTCAGTGCGCTCCCACAGCCAACCTCCTGTGGCCCCTCTCCCACCTACCTGGCTGGCCCTCCCCCCACCCCAATTGGCCCCAAAGGGGGGGCCGGCTGGCCAACCTCCTGCGACCCCTACCCCTCTGGGCCAACCAACCTCCTGTGGCCCTCCACCCCCTTGCTGGCCAGCCAACCTCCCGTACCCCCGCCCCCCGCCAGCCAACCTTCTGCAGCCCCTCCCCCCAGCCAGCTGGTCCCCCAATAGGCCTTGATTGTCAGCCAGGCCGATGGACCCCATCCGTGCACAAATTCGTGCACCGAGCCTCTAGTATACCCACAAAAATGTGCATGTTGGGTAATGAACTGTTTTGTGATCTCTGTGCTGGATAGCACAGCCCCACTGCGATCCATTGGAGAAGATACCGCTTTGTGATCTGGAGTAATACACTCTATAGAGAGGCTTTCTCGACTTGTCCCAGTGCTGCAGGCACTCTGTGCATTTAGACAGCTTTTCTTTTTCTTTTTTTTTCTTTTTTAAATATATTTTTATTGATTTCAGAGAGGAAGGGAGAGGGAGAGAGAGAGGAACATCACTGATGAGAGAAAATCACCAATCCCCCTACTGGAGATCGAGCCTGCAACCTGGGCATGTGCCCTTGATTGGAATTAAACCCGGACCTTTCAGTCCGCAGGCCGACACTATCCACTGAGCCAAATCCGCTAGGGCTAGACAGCTTTTCTTTTTGTTGGACAAGCAGCAGGCTGAGACTCTTGTTACTAAAGGTTAACTCGTCTGCCTTCTGCACTTGATTCGCATTCTATGTGTCAGCTGTGTCCTATAAAGTCATCTCCAGCACTCAGTCAGCAAATCCTGGGCCTCTGCTCCTCGGGGAATACAGGGCGAGGTTCTGGCAAACTCCTGGTCACAGCATTTCCATCCATGATGAATACATACCTGTTGTATTACTATTTCTGTTTAAAGACACTTTATTTAAGATGTATGGTTGATTCATTAACAGCTCACAGCAGACTGCACCATAGCTCTTGTCTGAATGAAGCTTATCTAACACATTTTGTTTTCTCTGTAAGTCACAACGCTGCCTTCTTACACATGGTGCCATTTTAAACGGTGAAATCACCACCACTAACAACAAAAAACAAACTCATAAAAATGTGGGGGGACAGGTGGCACTCAATGGGTCATGAAAAGGACAGGTGTTCAGAGAGCGGAAACTAGAAGGCAAGTGTCGCTGAGTTTGACCTCAGCTGGGAATGTGTGTGTTAGGCAACAAGTGTTTTGCTGCTTTGTGCATATTCACAAAAGCAGGGCAAGTATTGTGCCCATGTTAGTGAGCAGGCAGTTCTGCAAATCCACGCCTGCTAGAGAGAGATGTATACGAGCTAGCCCTGCCTGAACACCTGCTATAGGCCCAACACTGACTAGGCATGTGGTGTGCCTTCTTTCCTATTTTCACCCACCTGTGAGTTAGACATTACAGCATATGAACTCTGGCCTCCTGGCATTTCTTCCCTTCTTCATCTTACGTCCTCAGCCATGGTCGTTGGACTGGATTTGGACTAGAGCAGTGGTCGCCAGCTGGTGGTCCGTGAGGTCCGAAAGGTTGGTGACCGCTGGGCTAGAGGACTTCCTGGCCAGCCGGCTCCCAGGATGATGGGACAGATTATCAGTGGGGTAAGCCCTGACGTGTGTCAGGTTGTCCTGAGGCAGAGTCGTTTCTTTTAAAATGTTTATTGAATTAATATTCAGTGTAGGCCTCAGCTGCAGAAGAGGCTAAGAGAAAAGTAGATTCCTCAAGGACTGAAGTAGCACAGGCCTGCTTTTCTCCTGGATCCCCAGCAAGTCCCCTCGACGTTCCCCTGTCACCCACTGCCGCCCCTCAGGGCCATCAGCTGCCGGGGCCAGCAGCGCGGCTGTCCCACTTCCTGCAATCTCCCTAACTGCCTCTTGCACAGGACTGCCAGGCTCATCCTTCTTAGATTATTTTTTTTACTATCCTCACAATCCTGCTCAAAAGCCACGAACTTTGCTTCCCATTTCTTCCCTTTTTTTTGTTTATTTTTT